ACTGCTTTCTTGCAGGGCAGCCTGCACGAGGAGATCTGGCTGCGCCGCCCCCCTGGCTTCACTGGGTCAGTTCCTCCTGGCACCCAGTGGAGGCTTCAGCGGCCGGTCTACGGTCTCCGCCAGGCGCCACGTGAGTGGCACGACACACTGAGGACGACACTTGCGGCTCTTGGGTTCGCTCCCTCTACTGCTGACCCGTCGCTGTTTCTACGCACTGACACCTCGCTGCCGCCGTTCTACATCCTCGTGTACGTCGACGACTTGGTCTTTGCCACTGCTGACACCGCGGCACTCGCCCACGTGAAGTCGGAGCTGCAGAGGAGACACACGTGCACAGACCTGGGTGAGCTGACGAGCTATCTTGGCTTGCGGATCACCCGGGACAGAGCACGGCGCACCATCACCCTGACTCAGTCACACATGGTGCAGCAGGTTCTCCAGCGCTTCCGCTTCACGTACTCCTCGCCTCAGTCCACTCCTCTGCCTACCGGTCACTCGCTCTCAGCTCTGCCTTCGGATGAGTCCGTAGAGCCAAGTGGCCCGTATCCAGAGCTTGTGGGCTGCCTCATGTACCTAATGACCTGCACTCGACCTGACCTTGCATACCCTCTTAGCATCCTAGCACGCTATGTCGCTCCTGGCCATCACCGGAAGGAGCACATGGATGCTGCTAAGAGGGTGTTGCGCTACTTGTGCAGTACGTCGGGCATGGGGCTTGTGCTTGGAGGGCGAGACCGGGTTGTTCTCACAGGGCACTCAGACGCTTCTTGGGCAGACGACCAGGCTACTCAGCGGTCGTCCCAGGGTTACACCTTCAGCCTTGGCTCTGGCTCAGTTTCTTGGCGTTCTACTCGCTCTTCTTCTGTTCTCAGCTCCAGTTGTGAGGCTGAGATCTACGCCACAGCCATGGCTGCTCAGGAGCTACGCTGGCTGACCTACCTGCTGACCGACCTCGGAGAGCGGCCTCGTTCTCCTCCAGTGCTGTACGTCGACAACAAGGCTGCCATTGCCTTGTGTGAGGAGCACAGACTGGAGCACAGAATGAAGCACATCGCCCTGCGGTACTTCCTTGCTCGAGAGCTGCAGCAGTGTGGTCAGCTTTGTCTGCGTTACGTGGCCACGGAGGCCAACACTGCTGATGTGTTCACCAAGGCGCTTCAGCCTTGTGACCATCAGCGCTTTTGCACTCTGCTAGGCCTTGTACCTACTGGGCCTCACTTGCTTACCTCTTGACCTTGCTTGTACTGTGATCACTATATATATATGCCTACTTGTTTACTTTTGCTAGGTTGTGATCACTGTATCTCTTGCTTTGTTATGAACCTGCATGTGAACTGGTCTTGTGACCGCTTGCTTGTGCTCGGAATTTGTGTGGAATCCTTGAGATCCACCCTGAGCTTGCTTTGCTTTGCTTTGACTGGTCTTGTGACCCTGTGGTTGTCTCCCACTGCGCCTATGGGGGTGTGTCAAACATTGTATGTTTATATTGTGTAGGCTGTAGTGGGTTACACCTTAGGGGGTACACAAAGTTAGGGTTTCCTACTTGTACCAAACTCTGTGCTAGTTCATTTCATTCCTGCTCAGTTATTCTGACACCTGGAGCGAGAACGAACGGAGGGGGGGGGCGAGCGGCAGTGCGGTAGGGAAAGAGACGGTAAAAGGGGACAGACTCGTCAAAGGTGACGTCCTGAGATGCAAAGACACGGCGCAAAGTGGGGTCGTAAAACTGCCAGCCAGGCGCGTCAGGAGGAAAACCAAGGAAGACGCAGGGAATGGCGCGAGCGGAGAGCTTGTCCGCGGTGGTATCGCGGACAAAGGCACGAGCACTTTAGACCCGGAAGCGCGACGCATCGCCAACCTCCCCCGTCCACAACAGTGTGGGCGAGGTCTCCGGCAAGGAGATACGGGGCCAGAGGTTGAGCTGATGCGCGGCGTACCGGACCGCAAACGGCCACAGAAAATGGGGGGCAGCCGCATGGATCATGGAGGTACGAGCGACCTCCATGACTAAGCCAATGCAGCGCTCAGCAACCCCATTCTGCTGCGGAGAGGCCGGAAGCGTGAACGACTGGCGGATGCCGTGCTCCTCACAGAAAGCTCGCAAGAGGTCGGAGGAGAACTCACCACCTCTGTCAGAGTGCAAACGCAGGACAGGAAAGTCCGACTGGAACCGCTCGCGGAGCTGGAGACGAACAGCGCGGATCCAGGGGATCAGAACATCAGGGACCTGACCCTTGCTGCGCAAGGGGAAGACCGTGGTGTAACGCGTGTAGTCGTCGACGACTAGCAAGAAGTACCGCTCGCGGCCCTGCCCCTGGACGCGGGCTGGGCCCCACACGTCCAGGTGGAGAGTCTGCAGTGGAGCCTCTGTGGGAGGGAACGAGGAGGAGTGAGGAGCGGCGCGCTGCCGCCCCTCGACGCAAGGAATGCAGGGCGGGGCAGGCGAGGGAGGGAGGGCAGGAAGAAACCTGGGAAGGCCAGAGACCAGTAGGCGAGAGTGCATGCCACGAAGGCGGGGTAGAGAGGGGTGACCAAGGCGGTGGTGCCACAGGAGAGTGTCGTGCGACAGGTTCGTAGAGAACGAGGGGATGTGGAGACCTGACAGCTCACCAGACGGGACCGCCGGACACGGGAGCACAGTACTGGACCGTGCAAGCACTGGGCCCCCAGAGGGGTCAGCCAGTGAGACAGGGACAGGTGCAGGGAGGGGAGTGACTGTGGTGCTTTTGCAAAAGAAGCAGCGGGAAGCACTTGAGTCAAGCGTGAAGGTGTGCAAAGCCTCAGCAGAAGCAGCTGCGACCTTCTCAGCACCGAGGAGGTCGACGGCAGCGGTAGCAGAGGTGTAGGAGGGGGCAAGAGGGAAAGGGGAGCACCAATCAAAGAGGGGAGTGCAAGGAGTGCCACGAGCAGCGCCTAAAGCAAAGATGTTCTTTTCTGCTGCTAGGAGCTGCTGCTCGAAGTCGGCTAGAGTGAGAGTGGTAGGGTCTTTGGCGAGGAAGTGGTCCCTGACTGAACTGAGAGTGTCAGGGAGGCGGGTGACGAGGATGTAGAGGGTAAAGTACAGCGGGGGGGGGGGGGGGGGGGGGGGGTTCTTGGCGAAGAAGTCGTCCGTAAGGGCGGCACGAAAGCGAGCGTCACTAGCGCGAAGGTGAGAGATAAGGTCCTCAGCGGTGGCAAACGAGGACAGGTCTGGGAACAGGTAGGGTATGATGAGACGACCTACGGCTGCAGTGGCTGGGGACGAATAGCGCGCAACCACAGCGTCATAAAGTGTCTTAGCAGTCTTGTGCTGGCTGAAATGCGCGCGCTCAGTGATCGGCAGATGATTGCGAATAGCAAGGCGCGCAGCAGCATCGCGAGTCTGCCACTGTGAGCGGTCAAGAGCAGTAGCAGTGTCAGCAGGAGCAGCGGCAGTGCCAGACGCGTGATCGAACAGTGAAACGCCGTCTTTTGCATCAGTCATAAGAAACAGTTGCAGGTCGTCGAGCCAAGTGGCAAACTCAACCGGGCTACCGTCAGGCTCAAATGCGAGAACATTAAGCGTCGCTATGATCGCAGTGCAGGTGAAGGCAGCAGGCAAAGGCAGTAGGCACATGCAGCAGGCAAAGGCAGTAGGCACAGGCAGTAGGCAAAGGCAGCAGGCATAGGCAGCAGGCAAAGGCAGCAGGTACAGGCAGCAGGCAAGCTCAGGCAGCAGGCAAGGGCGGCGCGCAAAGCAGCCACAAGCTGCGTGTGGGCTGACTAGGCGATGCGCTAGCAGCGTCGGCAGCGCACGGGTGGGGCAGGCGGCCGCGACAGTAGGGCTGGCGGCGCGTGGGGCTGCACGACGGGCAGCGCGACGGGCAGCGGCAGGGCGCGCGCGGGGCTGCAGGGCAGCGCGACGGGCGGCGCGCGGGGCTGCATGGCAGTGCGACGGGCTGGCAAGGCGCGCGCGGGGCTGCGGGGCAGCGCGACGGGCGGCGCGCGGGGCTGCCGGGCAGCGCGACGGGCTGGTAAGGCGCGCGCGGGGCTGCGGGGCAGCGCAAAGGGCGGCGCGCGGGGCTGCGGGGCAGCGCGACGGGCAAAGGCAGGGCGCGCGCGGGGCTGCAGGGCAGCGCGACGGGCGGCGCGCGGGGCTGCGGGGCAGCGCGACGGGCAGGCAAGGCAGGCAGGCTCAGGCAGGGCGTGGGGTAGCACGGTAACCGCGAGCGGTTGGTGGTGGGCCCTAAAAAAAATCGATCCTGAGGTCCTAGGGACCTCCTGCTCTGAATTCCATGTCAAAATAGCTAGGCATGAATGATTGGATTGAACAGAATGTGAGTACAAATATGAAACCCTAAAGGGGGCTATACCCCATATTGGCTACCCCACTACAGCCTACACATATATACTACATATATAATTTGACAAGGGCATAGACAAGAGTACTACACGAGGAAGTCGGCTTACGCTGTGCAATTGCAGTTAACTTGTGATGCACACGACATCATATGGGACTACCTGATCGGATGCCTCGGGAGTGCACACGATCAACTGGTGTTCATGAACAGTGCATTACACAAGAGTGCACAACGGCGACATAGCGCCTTATCGAATCGTGGGAGATGCTGCCTACCCACTCAGAAATTTCTGCCTTACCCCACTACATGCACCCCGAGAGGGCCTAATGGAAGTCTTGGAGCAGTACTTTAACTACTGCCAGAGCGCAACGCGCATGGCGGTAGAGCGCTGCATCGGCGCCTTCAAAGGCAGATGGCGTCTATTCTCGGGCCGCAACGATTGCAAGCTGTGGCGCGTGCTTGCAGGGGCATCTTGTTGCGTCATCCTGCACAACATGTGCGAGACAATGGGGCAGGTGAGGCGCGTCAACACGTTGTGGGCTAACCTGCCACGAAACTGGGACCCATGGTGGACACGTGGCACTGTCGTCGACTTCAAGTGGGAGCCGTGTGTCCCATGCACACAAGCAACACTGAAGGAGAGGCGCAAGCAGCTTGGCGAGGCACTAGAGGTGTAGTACCTTACTCGGCGTCACCGCGAACCCACACGTCCTCGTCCGCATCCGAGTTGGCAGCGGCGTTACCAGACTGCGTGCGACGGAACCATCCGTCGTCGCCGCCTTCGGCGGTGTTCATAGCGGGCTGGGTGTCAGCATTTGCGGGGACGTCATTGCGTGTCGGCGGAGCTGCCGCCGTCTGCTGCAGGCATTCGCGAGCAATCTGCTTGTCCTGCTACATCCAGGCGCGGACGAGGCCTTCGAGCTTGGTCATTCCATCCGCGTGGCATCCCTTGATGGTCTCACAGACCAGCTTCGCGGCGGCCATGGTGGCCGTCCCTACAACCCGCGGGCGCTTGGAAGGAGGACTGCACTGCGGAGGGGGGGCTGGACAATCAAGGAAATAGAGTGTTTATTGCGCCACGTGCATGTGTTAAGAATAGTTGTGTAACGTGCGATGCGTAATACAGACCACGTCAACGATCCGAAAACATATAAAAGGTTAGAACTCACCCGTGAACATTGGAGTAGACGTGTACGGAGCGGACGTACACGGCACTGCGAACCTGGCCAGCACATTCACATGTGTCGCACCGCCGCCGTCCACGGCATGCGGGTTGGCGACGACCCGGTTGTTCTGGAAGAGCTCCATGTACGAAAACCAGGGTGGATTCGCCACCGCACCCTTGCCAGACGCCTTCTCCCCCTGCTTGAGCTGCTTGTAGATGCAAACGAGGTTGCGCAACTGCTTTTGCACTACGTTAACGCCGCGGACCCACCCCGGGTTCTCCTTCTCGATGTGACTTACGAGGCGTGCCCAATACTACAAGCCTTGCTTCCTGAGGAGAGGCTCGAGCTCGTCCTTCATGAACCAGCGCACGGCCACGAAGATTGTGTTCTCAAGCTGCGACCAGACGCTACACTTCACCGGGATGTGGTTGCGGGTCTTCGAAGCACGGCGAGTTGGTTCGCCACCCTTGGCGGTGGTGTTGACGGCTGAAGCAGGCTTTGTACAGCCGAGGCGAGTAGTCGGAGCCTCGGGCTGCGTTTCCTCTGGGGCCTCATCGTCGTCTCCCTCGGTGTCGTCACCATCGGCTTCGTCCTCCGATTCGAACATACCCTTGTCCTCCTCCTCTCCCGAGTCCGCCTCATCATCGGTGCCCTCGGCGTACTCGTTGAAATCGCTGTCGTCGTCGTCGTTACCATACGCGTTATCGTCGACGACGCGCGAGGATGCAACCCTGTCCACGTCACGTGCATGCGCATCGGGACGTTACGCAGGGCTTGGTAGGAGGTGGCTCCCGGGGAAGGCGTTCCCTCAAGCAGCGGGCCCGCGGGCTTGCATCCCGCGGCAAGTTGCTTGTTAATCCACGCGATATACGGGATCTCGTTGAGATCCCCCGGGCACTCGGTCGCAATGTCTGCTACTGTCTTGCGCTTACGAGCCATGGCTACGGAAGGGTGGAGATCTTGAGAAACGGGAAACAAGAACAGAGAATAGATCTTGGGTCGGAAGGAGATGAAGAGATTGGGGAGGGAGAGATGACAGAAGGGTCGGGAAGGTGAGTGGGGTTGGTGGGTAGGAATGCACGATGGCGGGGCGTGGGTACCACTCGTTTGGTTTCCCGAGCAGAGTGGTTTCTTTTCCCGCCAGGGCTCTCATTATCAGACTATTTTAGTCTGTTGGTCTAAGTTTCAGGCACAATTTGTTTAGTTCATCTGCTCATGCAGACTTAAGCTTACGGCTCATATGAGAGCCCAGACAAATGCTATATCGTCATATGTTTTTTCAGGAAACTTATATAATTTTGTCTGCTCTAGCAGAAATCGCGTATGGTTTCGTCTGAAAGCACCAAAATAGCCCAGTTGGCCATAGGGTTAGCGATATGTTGTATGTACAGACACGTGTAATGATTTTTGCGTAATGGCACGGGGGGCAATTTTGGACTCTTCCTGCCAGCGCATTCTGCATCTGACTCAGGTGCTGCCACGCATCTGTCTGGTAGCTGTTGTCGGCGCCGCTGCCAGGCTGGTGCCCCCCCCTCGCTGGCAGAGTGCAAGGACAGTCGGTGCACAACAAACAAAGCATGCACCCACCCTCGCACTTGCGTGAAACCCTCGTGAGAGAGGCGCGGTTCGTGACGTGATGGTCCCTTCCTTTCTTTTCCAAGCCTTTCTTTGACAACCTTGTTCTGCCTTATATTCCTTGACGCCTAGCCTGGCTCACCTCTTCCCATTAGCTTGTACCCTTCCCGTCTAGAGTGCCCTGTTGTTACTGCCTCATGTGATACACCACACCATGCTATCTGAGCATGGCGCCCTCGAGTCAACAGACAGCGCTAGGCGTGGTTCTCCCGTGGTACCTGAGGAGCCTCGGGTTTCTGCATTATATTTTTTAACCCGTAAAACTCCGGCTGCGATTCTTGTGACCCTCCCCCCAACGTCATCACATCCTGCAACAACGAGCCTCTTATCCCCTCGCAATCCACATCAGAGGCGGCTGAGACTTCGTCCCAGCCTAACCCAACTGAAGCTGAGTCTGCGCCGCCGCCCGTTTTGGCATCCGTAGCTACAAATCTACCTGCCAAATCCGTTTCGCGCATTAGAGCCGGGAAAGGCAATTTTAAACAACGACTATTGAGCTTTGCCCGTCCCACTGCAGGTGTTCCCCCAGCTACTGTCCCCCGCATTAGCACACCGAGTCTAGGCCCATCCAAGCCCGCCGCCGCCGACGACATTGGCAAGCATCCGCGCGCGTTGACCATCAAGCAGTGGCAGCAGAAGGCAAAGGAGAAATGGCTGCAGCACTTCCCGTGGCTAATCATCTCGCAGACCTCATGGGGTCAACCTTGCTTGAGGTGTTCCATCTACATGGTGCATGGAGACCCCAGCTACCAGTACGGCAGCGACAGGGAGGGTGGGCTCGACATTCAACGGCAGAATATGAGGAAACATCAACATTCAATCAAGCATGAGGCGGCAGTGGATCGCCAAGAGCTGCGAGCCGACAAGATCGTTGCTCAGAAGTCAATTGTCGATTTCGAGAATGGCAAGTCCGACGCCAAGCGACTAGCTAAACTAATGGCAACTGTCATTTTTATTTGCAGAAGTGACTCAGTCATTGTGTTGTTTGTGACTTTGGTCCAGTTCATGGCAGAGATGGGCACGCCCGACATGCCTCTGAAGGAAACCGACACCTACTACAACAAGTAAGTACTCATTTTCACGAGCACGTTGTTTTTAAAAACCACTGTTCTAATTACGTTCTTGCTGGTCCTTGCAGGTACGGGTTCGCGGAGTTGGTTGAGATGCTCGTCATCTACCTCCGTACGCAACAGATGAAGCACATCCGGGACAGTCCTTACTTGGGCATCCAGTTGGACGAGAGCACGGACCGTCGGCGCGGGAAGCACCTTATTGTTTACTTGTATTTTCTCCGCAACAAGCCCGTCATTGAAGCGCACCTAACCGTTGAGCAGTGTGATGCTGCTTCCCTGCAGGCAGTCCTTCTAACCCACCTAGAGTTTACCAGAATCGACCTTGAGCTCATCAGTGGCATCAGCACAAACGGTGCAAGCGTCATGGTCGGTTCTCAGCTGGGCCTGGTGGCACGCCTTCGAACACGGATTCCACACCTCGTCGGGTTCCACTACATCACGCATAGGTTTGTACACAACGTTTTTGTATGCTATACATTTATGCACTTCATGTATATTGAACTTATTCCCTTTTTGTTTTGTTTCAGGGAAGCGTTGGCGGCAAAGGATGCTGCTGAGGCCTACCCTGACCTTGACATCATCCACCATGTCGTCCGTTCCTTTGGCGGAGCTCCTTGAACGGTCGAACAACGTCCACTCGCGCTTCAAAGAGCTGCAGGAGGTGCTCTGCGAAACCAATCTGGAGTTGCGGTCAGGCGGTTTAGGGTCTGGCTGACAACCTTCCAGCGGCTGTAATACTGTTGTACAAGAACGACGAGGAGTCGTACAAGCTTGTAACCAGCTTGAAATTCCATTTCCTTCTCTTTTTCTTGGCCGATGTGTTGAAGGAGCTCAACGCACTCAACCTCAAGTTCCAGCGACGGCAGGTAAGGGTTTCGCCTCTTGTTGTTCCGTCGCTGGTATTGTTGAACTAAACCGTTTTTACTAACTATTGACGTGAAGGAGCTGCTGAAGCACTTGGAGAGCCGCATGAAGGATCTGGGCTCTCTCGACGGCACCAAGCTGTTCACGCAGGGGGCGTACCCGAAATCTCACTCAAAGCGGCAGCGTAGGTTTTTGCAGTGGCTAGAGGCTCTCCGTTGTCAGAAATAACTGAACAGGAATGAATGAACTAGAACAGAGTTTGGTACAAGTAGGAAACCCTAACTTTGTGTACCCCCTAAGGTGTAACCCACTACAGCCTAGACAATATAAACATGCAATGTTTGACACACCCCCATAGGCGCAGTGGGAGACAGCTACAGGGTCACAAGACCAGTCAAAGCAAAGCAAAACAAGCTCAGGGTGGATCTCAAGGATTCCACACAAATTCCGAGCACAAGCAAGCGGTCACAAGACCAGTTCACATGCAGGTTTATAACAAAGCAAGAGATACAGTGATCACAACCTAGCAAACGTAAACAAGTAGGCATATATATATAGTGATCACAGTACAAGCAAGGTCAAGAGGTAAGTAAGTGAGGCCCAGTAGGTACAAGGCCTAGCAGAGTGCAAAAGCGCTGATGGTCACAAGGCTGAAGCGCCTTGGTGAACACATCAGCAGTGTTGGCCTCCGTGGCCACGTAACGCAGACAAAGCTGACCACGCTGCTGCAGCTCTCGAGCCAGGAAGTACCGCAGAGCGATGTGCTTCGTTCTGTGCTCCAGTCTGTGCTCCTCACACAAGGCAATGGCAGCCTTGTTGTCGACGTACAGCACTGGAGGAGAACGAGGCCGCTCTCCGAGGTCGGTCAGTAGGTAGGTCAGCCAGCGTAGCTCCTGAGCGGCCATGGCTGTGGCGTAGATCTCAGCCTCACAACTGGAGCTGAGAACAGAAGAAGAGCGAGTAGAACGCCAAGAAACTGTGCCAGAGCCAAGGCTGAAGGTGTAACCCTGGGACGACCGCTGAGTAGCCTGGTCGTCTGCCCAAGAAGCGTCTGAGTGCCCTGTGAGAACAACCCGGTCTCGCCCTCCAAGCACAAGCCCCATGCCCGACGTACTGCACAAGTAGCGCAACACCCTCTTAGCAGCATCCATGTGCTCCTTCCGGTGACGGCCAGGAGCGACATAGCGTGCTAGGATGCTAAGAGGGTATGCAAGGTCAGGTCGAGTGCAGGTCATCAGGTACATGAGGCAGCCCACAAGCTCTGGATACGGGCCACTCGGCTCTACGGACTCATCCGAAGGCAGAGCTGAGAGCGAGTGACCGGTAGGCAGAGGAGTGGACTGAGGCGAGGAGTACGTGAAGCGGAAGCGCTGGAGAACCTGCTGCACCATGTGTGACTGAGTCAGGGTGATGGTGCGCCGTGCTCTGTCCCGGGTGATCCGCAAGCCAAGATAGCTCGTCAGCTCACCCAGGTCTGTGCACGTGTGTCTCCTCTGCAGCTCCGACTTCACGTGAGCGAGTGCCGCGGTGTCAGCAGTGGCAAAGACCAAGTCGTCGACGTACACGAGGATGTAGAACGGCGGGAGCGAGGTGTCGGTGCGTAGAAACAGCGACGGGTCAGCAGTAGAGGGAGCGAACCCAAGAGCCGCAAGTGTCGTCCTCAGTGTGTCGTGCCACTCACGTGGCGCCTGGCGGAGACCGTAGACCGGCCGCTGAAGCCTCCACTGGGTGCCAGGAGGAACTGACCCAGTGAAGCCAGGGGGGCGGCGCAGCCAGATCTCCTCGTGCAGGCTGCCCTGCAAGAAAGCAGTGCTGAAGTCAAGAGAGTGAAGCTCGTAGTCGCGGTGAGCGGCTATGTGCAGCAGCACCCGAAGAGTAGTCATCTTCGGGGTGGGGGAGAAGGTCTGAAAGAAGTCTACTCCCTCTCGCTGACTGAAGCCTCGAGCCACGTAGCGCGCCTTGAAAACAGGCGGAGAACCCGGCGGCCGCTTCACCCTGAAAATCCACATGCCACTGACAATGTTCGCCCCAGGAGGGGGAACCTCGTCTACGTAGGTGCCTGTGGACTTCCAGGAGGCCATCTCTGCGTCCATGGCTGTCTGCCACTGAGAGGAGTAGGGACCCGCCATCGCCTCAGCGTAAGAGCGTGGGGTCGGGATGTCTGGTGCATCCGGGTCTCCCTCAGGGGCAACTAGCAAGGACACGAGACGGGGCAAAGCAGCAGCAAGGCAGTGGAACTCCTCCTGTCTGTCCTCAAGGACGTCCGTGCCGAGGGCACACTCACCCCCGACGGACGGAGGACAGGCAGACGCAGACTCAGACCTAGCGACAAGGCTGGCAGCGTAGTCTAGGCGACAGCGAGCAGCAAAGTCAACCAACTCAGCGACCAGGGCAGACGCAGCAGAGGACTCAAAGGTCGGGTCAGTGACAACTGTAGCGAGGAGACGCGTAACAGTGGGACTGGCAGCACGACGGGAGTCAGACTCCGGGTCAGGAAGAGTAGGAAGAGAGGACGCAGGAGGAGACGGCAGTGGGACACGCTGCGGAGCAGTGGAGGGACGCAGAGTCATGTAGTGAGTGCCAGGGACAGGAGGAGGACGCTCACGTGGGACACGACGACCAGTGCGAGCAGGACGAACAGGCGACGCAGGACGAGACTCAGGCTCACGACGCTCTGTAAGACCTCCTGTGGGACCAGCGTAAGGGGAGGGAGCAGGGAGAGGCGAGACAGGCGGTAACTGTGACTGCGGCTGGACAGGCGGAGGACACGCTACGGAGGGAGGAGGACTAAGAGGAGGAGCCTGACCAAGAACCTGCTGAAGGAGCGGTACGAAGTACGGTCGCGGCTGCGCAGCGTCTCCAGAAACAGCAGGGACACCAGTGGCAGCCCCAACGCCCGAGTCCTCAGCACCAGCAGCAGCTCCAACGCCCGGGTCCTCAGCACCAGTAGGAGCTCCAACGCCCGAGTCCTCAGCACCAGCAGCAGCACCACCGGTCGGGTCCTCAGCACCCGCAGCAGCTCCAACGCCCGGGTCCTCAGCACCAGCAGCAGGGCCACTGGTCAGGTCCTCAGCACCAGCAGCAGCGCCACCGGTCGGGTCCTCAACACCAGCAGTAGCTCCAACGCCCGGGTCCTCAGCACCAGCAGCAGCTCCAGCCCCCGGGTCCTCAGCACCAGCAGCAGCTCCAGCGTCCGGGTCCTCAGCACCAGCAACAGCACCACCGCTCGGGTCCGCAGCACCAGGAGCACCACTACGAAGACTGCAGCGCCGCGTGTACCACTCGCGGATCACCTGAATGGGGGGGAGCTCCTGGGTAGGAGGGGAAGTACCGGGACGAGCTCCAGAAGCACCTCTCCAGAGGCGGCAGTACTCGAGGTACCTCTCCTGCAGCTGCTGGGAGGAGAGGGCTCCTCCAGGTGGAGTACCCCCAGACTCAGCACCCCCAGACTCAGCACCCCCAGACTCAGCACCCCCAGACTCAGCACGTCCAGACTCAGCACGTCCAAACTCAGCACCACC